CGGATACATGATTTTGTTTTATAACATCATACGTGTAGTTGTTTTTGCCTAGAACGAGCTTTTAGTAAAAGCGAGTACTCTCAGATCGGTACTTTGTGTTTTAAGTCTGTTTGGTAATTTTTTTGTGTGCTTTGTTTAAATCTGATGAGTTAAGCCTTTTTTAACAGATTTATTTAGTTTGTTCGTATGTTGTGCTATAACATGACTGTCCCGGGTTAAGGGAGTGTTGGGCGCTCGCAAACACGTTTAACTCCGCCACATTATGTTATGCCGGTAATTCAGTGGTTGCTGTTTGTTGCTGTATATCATATCTGTTTTCGTTTATTATATTTACATAAATCAGACTGCTTATTTTCTCGTTTATGCGGTATGGGTTTTGATCTTGATTGAATGCCGTACTCATTTGGTCTCTGATGGAGAGTCTCATTGGCAATCATACCACATCTTCTTATCTTTATTTTAATAATTTTATCACAACAATTTTTACACGTGGCGATTTAGATCTACATTCATCTTTCTATTGTTGAAGACTGCATTGTTTGTATTTGAAGTCCCTTTATTCAGTTGAAAATACACGAAGTACATGAAAAAGCTCTTTTTTTCATTAGATTTATTTTGTTTGGGCGAATATTTGTATCTTTGAAACACAAGTAAAACAAAACAAAAACAATTAAAATATTTTTGAAAAAATAAATATGTCTTTATAATCATTACTCATTTCTAAAGCGTCAACAAAAATATATCATTATACACTATTTATTTTTTTATTGTTAGGGCGTGTATAGGAAATGTTTAAAATAGTAAATTAAAATTTTTTGAACTTGTAAAGGTTAAAAATCAGCGATCGTTGTCGTTTAATCATGTACATGAACATATATATTTATGATGGATCCATATTTGCTTTGTCAAAGTTTGTTCTTATAAATGACTTAAAAAAGCAATATAAATAATCGTTTCCTCCAAAGAAAGGTAGGTTATATTGACGTTTAATCGTCCGTCTACGAAAGCTCCAAAATAATTTTTGATATTCCGAATTTGAAGTTCGAGATTCACTATCTGAAGTTGGTAATTCGAGAATAGAAATCAATCTCTAAAACTTGAGGTTCGAAATTGTAATTCAGATTTTGAAATTAAAAATTCAGCATCCGATATTCAAACAGGAGACATAATTTAAGTAAAAAGCCAATCATTTCAATGATAAAGCAATGCTGAACAGAAAGCAAGTCATTTGCTGCAAAAGATGCGTTTTTTTATTATTATTTATCAGGGGCGCTGAGGGTCAAAAGTTTTGGTATGCAAAAAATGTAATAATATGTTAGAAGCTTATAATCGGAAGAATAAAATGAATTGTATGATTTTTCAGGCTTTTATTTATATTTAGACTGCTCTATTACTTAAAATGCTATGTCACTGCGTTCTAACATGTGAGCCGAAATCAATATAGAAGAAACTCATCTTGTGAATAAGTCAATAGCTTGCTTATTTTGATGTGAGGATTTTTTAAATTCTTGATTAAAAACGACATGCATATCCCTTCTTTCCCGTTGATTAAAGTGGATTTTCATACAAAAATTTGGTATTATAGGTTGTTTTATTATACTGTGTAATTTAGAAATACCAGACTTTCAGTTAAAGATTTGCAGGAATCAGTCGGCGAATTTCATTGTTGCAAACTTAGCTAACTTGTAACGCTCTGCGCATCTTCGCTAGCCAAGGGTTGCGATCCGTCACCCACCTTTTCACTTCGGCTATCGAAGATGAGCTCTACGGAGCGAGTAAATGATTTTTGGGGCCATTCAATCAAACAAATGTTGTCTTTATGATACATCAGACTATTGCTAATATTTGTGTAACAGCAGAGCCGCATTATGTGTGGTATAACTTGTACACGAATAATCTCCGGGTTTGACATGAGAAACACAACGTGTATCGCATGTGAAGCAGGATTAATATACCGTTCGGGAACCCCCTAAGTTTCACATCCATCTCTCCTACTCTATGTTATGTTCGGTTATTATTGTTCGTATGGAAGTTTATAGCTCGTTGTTTGTTTTTCTATATTCTCTTGTTATGGTATTGTCTTTTCGTCTTCGATTCACGGTTTATGGCAGCCCTTGATTCACGGTTTATGGTAGCCCTTGATTCAATGTTTATAATAGCCCTTGATTCACTGTTTATGGTAGCCCTTGATTCACTGTTTATGGTAGCCCTTGATTCACTGTTTATGGTAGCCCTTGACTCACGGTTTATGGTAGCCCTTGATTCACGGTTTATGGTAGCCCTTGATTCACGGTTTATGGCAGCCCTTGAATCACGGTTTATGGTAGACCTTGATACACGGTTTATGACAGCCCTTGATTCACGGTTTATGGCAGCCCTTGATTCACGGTTTATGATAGCCCTTGATATCTTCAAATTATTTTTATAACTGGAAAAATCTTGTTTCTGCTACAAGTCTTTGAAGTATGGGTTTGTGGTTTGAATATGACTACTGTTCACATACGATTGTAATAGAACTTATGATGAATTTTGCAATGTGTATAGACTTATCATTAGTTCTCATCAGATGAACAACAAATTTGACATCTTGACAGGGTTCTTAATTAGCCTAACCGAATTTAGTTTTTGACATTGATGTATTCGTTTACATCAAGTTTATAAAGTGTTGGATATTTATGTATGTGTTACAATTGTGGTTGACCTTTAGTTGTATTTTGTGTCGTTGGGTTGCTGTTTCATTCACATATAACCCATATCTTATTGTATTTGTAGTATCTAAATTGTCAAGGATTACTAGTATCTGATTGTGTTGTTGATTGTGTTGTTAAACTCGTTGCTGTGCTTTTCAGTCTTTGTTTATAGATTATCATGTCTGATAGATCGGTAGCATCTACTCGTTGTTGTGCTTTTTAAGTCTTTGTTTATAGATTATCGTGTCTGATAGATCAATTATCGTGTCTGATAGATCGATTACCTGTCTGATAGTTCGATTATCGTGTCTGATAGTTCGATTATCGTATCTGATAGTTCCGTAGCACCTGAGATAATCCCGGATTTTCGTTATGTTCAGTCTTTAGTTTTTTTATGTTTTGTAGAATGTTGTTTGTCTTTTCGTCGTTTTTCGTTTTTCCAACGTCACGTGGTCAGTTTGTCTTGGGATTATGAGGTTGAATAGTCCTTTGATATATTCCGCTTCTCCAAATTATCCATGGACAATAGATATTGACAGCAAACGAGTAAAATTTCATCTTCGATATTACGGTTAGTTTTTTTCCTCTCATGAAAAAATATATTTCATCATTCGTTCATCATTAATTGATCTTTTTGGAAATGACAACAGCGTCAGATATAAAAAAATGACGGCGATTACTTCATTTAATATTGATCTAAAATCTGCGAATAGTATACTTATGTCCCAACGAAAACCAAGAGAAAAATGTATTTGTTTGTTCATTAATTTGTATTCACTTTAATAAATTAAATATTTAAGCCTTGCTAATATTTTTTATTATTGAATATTTTAGTTCGAGTTATTAAATGGTTCGCTTTCAATATAACGTTTTGTCGATTCCTGTTTGTCACTTGCCCATGGTCGCGTTTGAACTTCTTTGATTTACGACTTCCGATCGTCAGATGTTTATGTAAAAGTATTTCCTATATCTTATTTAAACTGTATTACAAGTTTCTGTGACAAAAAGAGGGTGGCTGGTTTTTCTGTTTTTATGGTACTACTCCACCGAAGAATCATGCAAAAAGTGATTCATTGTTGGGAAGTCTACACATTTTTAGTTTTATATTCTGTTCATAATGCAATGTTGAATTAAAAACTTTCCATGACTTATACTTCTGTCGAAGGTCTTGAGAGACATAAATTATGAGAAATGCACATGAAATGTCTGAAAAGGGAAATAACTCCATAATCGGCAGTGCATTCCATAAATATGATATACCAATTTTCTTCCATGACCAGACAGTATGTGAAGAATTATAATGCACGACACATAGCTGGTAAAATATCAAAATTAATAATGTGTAGCCTATTGTCGGGTGCATTTTTTGACGTCTTTTGTACCACAAACCAAGTATTCATCTTTGAAATGCACTGCAAATTCCAATGAATACGAATGTATATAATTTTAAGTCAAATCCCCAAGCATTTTTAAGAATGATTTAATTTTATTCATTCGAATAGTAAAGAGTCTATATGGTATGCTTTAGTTATATTTTTGTTGTTCGCCACTAACATTAAAGAGTGGCGGGCATGTTGCATTTGAAGATCTTTGAAGTAACTATTGCAAATTTTACGTTGTTGTGAAAGCAGTAGGTTCGATAAGGGCACAGTTTGGCCCCTATTTGTGAATAAAATTTCAAATAAGGATTTTTTTATCAGTATCTTAATGAACCACAGTCAAAAGAGTGACTAGATAGGTATTAGATATCTCTGTTGAATATTTACGAATCATCGACTCTTTTCATAAAAAGAACTTCCTATTAAAATTGATCTTAATTATACTGAAATGTTCATGACTTACGAGTAATTTTACTCGTAAGATTTGTTGTGAAAAGAGCCGTAGCGTTTTTTCATTTAGTCACAAATGGCCCTTTTGTTTATTTTCATCAAAATTCAACGAAAACAGGTCAATTTTCATTGTACATTAGGACCGGTAGCATACAGTGCATTCGTCGACTCAAACAAATCTTTTTGACATAATGTGTGCTGTAACAAGTTACATATATCTGACTTGAATATTTAGTTTGTCGAACCCCGCTCTATCACGGTTTCCTAGATCTTAATATGGTTGAAATCTGGACGATTTTGTAAACTTTCATCAAAATAAGGATTTTAGCTTATTTTGGGTGTAAATATGCTATATAGCAAAAGCTCGACAAAAATAGTCGTATTTCATTTTCTTACATTATAAAAATAAGGAGATGTGGTATGATAGCCAATGAGACAACTATTGCTGGACACAAAATCAGAAAACTGTTGTTTCTCTTACCTTTTAGTGTACTTTAGTGTTCTTCTTTGCCGAATTCCACTATATAAAACATAATCCTTTAAGAAAAAAAAATCAAAATAATTAATTATAAAAATCTAACGAAAAATTTGCAACGTCATAAAACCACCTTGAAAGAAGATAAGCCTCGTTCTGAATATAAGACATAATATCAAATAAGGGCAAATTCCTGTCATTTCCTACAAATATCTCCTAATACACATAATGGTGTAATATTAGGAAAAGTTATAAATTTGACCTTCTTACCTTCTGGTCAAAATGAGATGGACGCCAATATGTAAAATACTATAAAAAGGTGCGAATATGTTAATAAATGAAACCAATGATTAAATCCTTGAGGAAACACATTGCAGTTTGAGTAAAATATGAATTAAATAGGAGATATGAGGTATGTGTAAATGAGACAGCAATTTTCCCAAAGAAAAAAAAGCAAATGACTTCTAAAGGTAAAAAAAAAATGACTTCTAAAGGTAGAAAACATATAACTTCTAAAGGTAAAAAAATCAAATGGTCAACATAATGCTTAAACTTGCTTTTTATTTAGAACATATGTCGAATAGTTGTCTCATTAGCAATCATACCACTCTTCCTTATTTTATAATGGTCTTTAATTTTTCCAAATGTGTAATGAATTTGTTGCCCAATACAAAAAGTTTCTTCCATACCATACGTTAGTTACCTGTACTAGGAAAAGGAAGTCCACTTCAACGATTACACTGTTGATAATCGATAACTATCACTATGATTAGTTATAGTTTAGTCGAGAAAGTGTGTTTTATTTATTTGTTTCAATAGAAATGTGTGTAGTTTTACTTGTATAACTAGAAAAACACAAATAAAGTCTGACGTATTTTAATTTAAATTTTTTGTTTGTAGTAACTTTATCTTTACACAAACAAAATTCAATGAAGCCATACTCCTCGCCACTTCCGCTTTATATTTTTTCATTGAGAAAGGTAACAGACAATTCAAAATCTATTGTCTATAATGGAATTCAATGCGACTGTCATACAAGTGAGAGGTTTAGTTAGCTATAAAACCAGATTTAATCCACCATTTTCTACATAAGGAAATGCCTGTACCAAGTCAGGAATATGATAGTTGTTTTCCATTCGTTTCATGTGTTTGCGCTTTTGATTTTGCCAATTGATAAAAGACTTTCCGTTTTGAATTTTCCTTGGAGTTCGGTATTTTTGTAATTTTACTTTTTACAACTTTTTGTCCAATCTTTTGTTCTGTATTGAAAATTAAGGACCATTGATTTAAAACAGTTCAAGTTTAAAGACCAAATTAAAAATTCTTCGATTTTTATGTATCATAGAATTACATGGAATTTTAGCTCTTATGGTTGATTAGTTCTCAATTAATCATTTGGGTTACTGTCGAAAGAACATTGGAATCACTATAATAATATTGACGCTCTCGTACAGGGGTATAAAAAAGCCTGGACTATCATTAGATAAAAAAAACACAATAGAAGTTCAAAAAGGAAAACCGTGTATGGCTTTAATAATTGATGAATTGTTGGTTGCTAAACGTCCAGTGTCAAATATTTCATGCAAGTTCAGGACGAGAACAAATTAACAATAGTTACAATATGTAGGTTCTATAACAGAGGCCGTCCGGGATGAATGTCGGGGAAATGTTGACTGCCATTAGAAAATGAGGGTATATTGGATAGGGAGAGACATTTTGCCTTGCAATAGGCCACCTTCGGACCCCTCAAAAAGTTAATGAAAGTGTTCTTAACGTGCATAGAGCGAGACACTTTCTTTACACGAGGCATCGGAATTAACGTCCCCATTCTGACTGGACGTTGACTTTAATGAATATCACAGGGTGTTCATTAACTAACATTAGTTCTGAAGTACTAGTATGCTAGAAATTGACAATAGCATTACGGTTATGCATAATAAGATGCTATAGAAGACCGCAAAATCATATTTCCGTCATGGTACTGTTGATCTTTGACTTCTGATTTTTTTTGTCCCTTTCAACCTCCCCCTTTTTGGTACTATCAATGTCAACAATGCTCATTAAGTGTCCATTGACGTAGATTTGTGACAGAAACTATCGACAATCTGCAACTGACACGAAATTCCTAAATGGACAAAACAATTAAAAAAAATACAAATTTGTGGTTCTTACTTCGGACAGGCACGTGAAAATCGATATTGAGATATAAAACGAAAGAATTTTAAAGGTAAAGTATACGTCTATATATATATACTAGTAGTTAGACGGTATTTCATATTTTAAATAAATTTTGTTAGATTTAGAACTGGTTGAACTTCATCTGAATGTCGAAACAATGAATTTTTATTTAGAAATCATATGTTATAGCTGTACAAATTTCTGTTTTAATTGTATAAAAATACAAAGGGGGTGAGTGGGGGATTGGTTTTTTTATTCATCATTTTTAAGTTTGAAAAAATTCGATATTGGTGCGTGAAGTCGTTACGACACATAAGTTACGACTATTTTGTATTTTGTCACTTTTCACTATGATTAAATTCCAGTAAAGAAATCTGGTGACATCCAGGTATTTTTAAATCATAATAACGGAAATATATTTCTTATTTTTTACTTGATTGTATCTCTGAAGGTTGAAATGCTACATTTGTCATTTTTTAGATACATGTATTCAGATTCAACGAATGTGTTCTTAATGCATACAAAAAGTCGTAAAATTCCGAAAATACCCATCACTTATCAATTATACGTATATTTCGCCGTTAGGGAGCTACCATTTGATTTTTATGGAGGGGGGGGGGGGGTGAAATTTAAAAAAATAGGCAGGACAGGAGTTTTGAGTAAAAAAAAAAGGCAGGATTAGACACTTTGCAAAAAAAAAGGCAGGATGACAATTTATGTAAAAAAAAGTCTGGATAAACTAACAAAAAAAGGCAGGACCGAATAGAGTGAAAAATAAAAAGGCAGGACAGAGATTACAACTAAAAAAAAAAAAATGCAGGACAAAATTTTTCATTCTAGCCCCATAAAAATCAAATGGCAGCTCCCTTCGACACTTTTCCAGTGGCTTTTTTAGGAGGGTGAACTCACTGTGTATCATCATCACCGGATATAGGTACCCTTGGCCTGGTTCTCTGTTCATTGTCTAAGAAAAACAACATTACTGTACAAAGACCAGCAGTACCTATATGTTGGTAAATGTACCGTGAGTAATGTAGTTTTTCTTGGACAATGAACAGAGAACCAGGTCAAGGGTACCTATATCCGTTGGTGATGATACACAGTGGAACTAATTTCCGACAAAATTTTACATTTCAACCTAACAAACAGATATCGATTTTATTATACGAGTCTTTAATATCGTTCACCTTCTATTGAATCTGATCGACTTTTGGGCATCTCACTGTCCAGATGTGCATCACCAGAAATCTCAAGATGAAGTGTCGCGTGCCATTGGAAATGACATTGACTTCTAATTTAAAGATCATAAATACTTTTTGGGGGGAGGGGTCGAATTTTTATGTCCCACCGGTCATGAGACTTTTTATCCTTTAACCTAGGTTTTTCAAATGGGTACCTGATGGGGTGATGTCTTCGTGTCATCATATCTAAACCTCAACTCAAAACCATAATATTCTTTTGACATGACATGGCATTTCCAGTACATCATAGATTTATTCCCCTATGTCGTGCACTATGTCCATCTCTCTCTCTCTCTCTTATATCGTAAATTGTAAAATAATTCAAAAGCTGTTCCGATCCCTATCCCTTAACCAAATATTTATATTTTCTAAAGAAATAATAGACCATTGTACGCCTTGTTCAGTCAGGGTCACCTTGAAGATGTTTTTCTTTTTCAATTCTAACGAATTGACGTCTAGACAGAATTATTTGTGCATGTGGTGAAGTACGTCACGTGTTTTAGAGATCCAATCAGTTATCTGTCAGGAAACAAACCTAAGGCAAAGTTTTTACGTCTTCGCATCGACGTAGTCTATTTATTACACGACATCTGGCATTTATATTCTATGAAAAGGAAGATTATTTATGAAATATATTGTAGGATCACTGTTGATATTATATCGATTTTGTAGAAGATTATTTATGAAATATATTGTAGGATCACTGTTGATATTATATCGACACTGTAGTGTTTCCAAGTGTGATTTGACATTGGAAACTGATATTGTTATATCTTCTATTTTGTAATTTCGAAATTTAAAGTTATATCCACATTCATCAATTGACAGGTTAAAACGTATCCAATATGATCTATCTGTTGATTTTTTTGTCATTTGAACAATTTTTCATCAAGTCATTTAAATGTCGAGGATTAATCTTAATCAGGCAGGAAAGCTAAGAGACAAAAGTTTGTAAAGCTAAAGCTTGTACTGAAATTTAATTTTGTATACAGATTTAAGTGCACATGCCACTTATTTCTGGAATGTAAGAGAGGCGTAATATACCAAGGGGATATTCAAACTCGTAAGTCGAAGACAAACTGACAACGCCATGGCAAAAAACGAAAAACGGCAAAAAAAAAACAACAGTCTATACAAAACACAACATAGAAAACTAACGACTGAGCAACACGAATACCACAAAAATCGGGGTGATCTTAGGTGCTACGGAAGGGTAAGCAGATCTTGTTCCACATGTGGCACCCGACTTTTTTCCAGTTCAAATAGTGACATAACTGTTAACATGTAAAGTTTGGATAGCCCAAATTAATAAAACATTTAGGAGCGTTAAAAAAGAAAAGTGTACAAACCATGGATAGAGACAAAACTACAAGGGTCCTAATGACACACCAAACTCCGGCATCTCAGGATGGCTTTATTAATGTAGTAGGCCTAGGTACATTACTTTCTTTTAAAAAAAAATGCACAGATTTACCCTCCGGGTTAAAAAAAAATGTGTATATATGCGTTATAATTCAAGCCAGTACCAAAACGCAGATTACTTGGTTTTTTTAGTAGAAACTGTAGTTCTTTGAACGTAAATTATTCAACACGACGCTACATGGCAGCCAAATGTGCAAATACTGCAAATAAATTAAAGAGATACTTCAACGCGATCACGTGAATAGTAAGAACCACTGCCTTGTTCATCTGCAAACCCTCCTGAAAACACTATCACTGTCTCAAAAGTTTATAGTGAAAAATCGTTTTATTCTAAATAAAAATTCCGATGTTATAGATTGTATTCTTTTATATCAGAAATGAGCTTCTATATATGGAATTTACATATTGAAATTTCGATCTTTTGGAACCAAATTGCTTTATTGAGAATGGCGTTTGTTCTTGTTTCAACTATATTTGGTTGTTTGCATGCAATATTAGTGTTATGGGTTTCCATAAAAAAATATCACTGAGTCAATTTAAAACTGTTAAGTTTTTTTTAGTTCAATATCGAAACGACAAGAGTGTAAATGGTCAGATTAATTTAAACTCTTAGGCTGTCATTCTTATGAATAATGTAAAGCGCGACAAAACTTTCAGTTGGGGGGGGGGGGGGGGGGGGGGGGGGGGGGGGGGGGGTGATGGGTCGGGTAGTGTTAATGAAGCCGGACTGGATAATGAACATTACGAGATACCACACAACAGGCACTGATAGGAAGAACTGACTTTATCATTCACAGGTAGTTTGGTGTCTGGAACTAAGGTTGCAAACTTACACTTTAAACTTAAACTTTGAATTACATGTACATAACGTAACGTGATGTTCAAGGGTATAATGTTAGTGCATTTTACATTCTTCTTGTGAATTCACTGTAATAAATCTGTCACATAAATCAATGAACCAAGACTATATATAGGTCAACAGTTTAAGTGCCTATTGTGTTTGAACAGATAAAACGATGGACAAATTACTAAGGAAACCATAAGTCGAAGTAAAACAGGTAACATAATGGCAAAAACGACAAAAAAGATAAACAACAGTACATACAACATTACACAGAGGCCTGAGAGCAAAAAGAAACCCACAAAAACCATAGGTGAACTCAGGTGCTCCTAACGGGCAAGTAGTTCCTGATCAAGGAATGACACCGTTCGTGTTGATCATTCAAGACAAAATTCAGTGACACGTCTTGTTCGGTGATTTCACATTCGAGGAAAAGATTGTAACTACGACAACTTGGTCATATCCGTGGTCAGCTATGACACAGCTATTCACGTTAAACTAAATAAGTAAAGAGTAAAGTGTATATCGAAAGTGGTCTGTGTATTATGACCTGTGTTTGTGTTTAACTTTTTATAAATTATGGTGACAGTCAAGTTAAAGCATGTTATCCATTTAACTACATCTTTGAAATAGCTGAAATAAATTTTAAAAACCAAATACTAGTATGCTAAAATATATACTCTCGTATATATAAAGACAGATAAAAGACTTCTTCTTGTATTTTCATTTACATTTGTTTCAGCTCAAAAAGTGACAAATCAGACCGCTGGTTTTCTCTTTTGAATTGTTTCACATTTTGTTATGCAGGTGTCTTTTATAACTTACTGTATGTTATCTTTTTGCTTATTGTTGAAGCACGTATAGTGCCCTATGGTTGTGTACATCCTCGTCCTCTGTTCTCTGGTGGATTGTTGTCTCATTGTGCAAATCATATCATAACTCCTTATTTATATATAGCTGAAATTGTCTTGTTTAAGTTTCGTGCAAAATTTAATATAAAAATGTCCACGATTCCTTCAATACATATCAGAACTTGGAACTTAGCTGACTCAGTATACTCTGTGGTTGGTTTTAAGAAAAAAAGTTTTATAAAAATTGGAAGGTTTTTCCTTATCTAAAAGGTCTGGGGATAGTTATATGTAATTCTTCATGGTTTTCTTCTTATCTTTGCCTTTTAGTCAGTTTGTTTGAAATACATTGTCTCTAAGCAAAGTCGTGAATTAATCAGTGGAAGAGTTGGCATTATTAACCAAAGGTGCTGTCATACTTAATAAAAAATATTTTAACAACTCTTTGAGGGGGTCCGTAAGTGGCCTGTTGTAAGGCTAAATTTCTGTTCCTATCCAATATACCCTCATTTTCTCGTGGCAGTCAATATTTCCACGACCTTCATCCCGAACGACCTTTATTACAGAACCTACATATTGTATCTATTGTTAATTTGTTCTCGTCTTGAACATGCATGAAATATTTGCCACTGGACGTTAAGCAACCAACAATCAATCAACTTAATATTGTACTCTGTTCAGATCTATTTTTCAATAAAGAAAATCAATAAATGCGACTTTTTATTGTAAATTTGACTAATTTTGCCAAGGAGCAATATATTAAACAGTATTAAATGTAGAATAGAGAATGGAAACGGGAAATATGTCAAAGAGACAACAACTCGATCAAAGAGCTAAATTAGGATTGTTTTTATTGTTAAAATATATTCATTGTTGTAGAGGGTCTCATTAACATCTGATTAAGAGTTCATCCCTATTTTCCGAGTTGTGTTTGTATTCATATGTTGTAGAATTCATATGTTGTAGAATTCATACAAGTCTTTCTTAAAGACAAAAAGAAAATAACTATAGCTGAGTTCTGAAGGTCTGCTTCATACCTACATCTTTTTCTTGAAATCGTCACAGATGAACGACTTGAAACTAAGATCTATGTCAAAAGTCAAAATGATATCAGTTTCCCTATTGTCAATTTATCATTTTCAGTAGTAACATACAGTAACACTCTGTCCCATCGTGCATGTTCACATTATGTAGACTTCTTCAACAAGGGTGTTCTTCTACTGAATACACTGCTCCATCAGGGCTATGAGAAAGAACGACCGAATTCGACACTACTCAGGAATTACAGTCACCATCACAATATAATGTGTCTTGTGTTTTAAGTCATTAGTGACATGTTTTTGTGGTCTTAGGTCTTTAGATTCCAGAATAGTCAATTGTGTTCTATTCTCAATCGTGACAATCTGATGGAGTCTGGATTCTCAATGGCGGGTCACGGGTGTATGCTTGAAGGAGGCGCCTACCCTTTCGGCGTACCCGACCTCGCTCTGATACGGAGTTTATGCGATTCCCTGCGTTTTTAGGTAAACTACAATTGCCTCTTATTAAAATTGTTTAATCATTATGATATACCCAATAATATGCCTTTTGACATAACTTGGTTATATGAACAGATATCATCATCTGGTGTTTTAGATATGAATGTATTACGTCGTCTGATTTTATTTTTCCGTATTGGGAAAGTGCTTTTTTCAACAAGAGATACATGTTATTACAAAATGACTGTAATAAGACAACCATCAAGCGGTATGTTTCTTCAAGATAAGTACATCTTTCCAAATAGTAATGTTGATATCTATACAGAACCAAATGTGATAAAATGAAAATTAACTCACCGTTGGAAAATAGTTTTTAAATCCTTTGTGGATTGTTTTGGAATTGTAAATCCAAAAATTATGCTATTCGGCCGGATATAATTCTCAAGCGGCGAACCAGCACCTCTTGGTGGAATCAATCGAACGGAACATGTTCTTTGATTCACTAAGAAGCCTACGGGTGGAAATTAACAACTTATTACAAGATATTGACAACTTAAACAAATTACTAACTTCCTAAATGTAAACATTGAATTTTTGGGAGAAATAATATAATCCATGCACAATATCATGTACGCATGTTTTTCATATTCCTAAATAATACTCGAGCACATATTGGTTGCAAGTTTACATCTTCATTAATATAATGCTGTACAAGGAAAAATTGTGTTCAGTCAAACATTAAACCGTGGCTTAGTATAACTTTAGTTTAATGAATGTTAATGAATGATTTAAAGACAATATTACAGATATATAATTAAATATATTTAGTTTACTGTTAATTTTTTTTTTAAATCACCACAATGACATTGCATTTATGAATAATATTTGTTTTTAATGTTAATGATATGCATAAAGGCATGTTGTCACTATCAATGTTTTCTTGGTCACTGATTCAAGTTTTTGGTGGATTTTTTTTATAGTGACAACCGTCAAAGTTGGACTTGGATAGAATAGAATCTCATCCTTTTTTTCTTGAAATTTAGATAAACTTGGAAGGTAATTGTCCAATCAGGGTGCATTTTTTTTCTTTGATTAAGTTTTTGATGAAAACTTTGATAGTGACAACTGATGACATGGACCAAGTTTACCTGGTCGAAGTTTGACATGAAAAACTTGTATAGTGACAACAGATGACTTGGAACAGGTTTACCTGGTTAGAGAAAACTTTGACCAAGTTGACTTTGATGTTGACCACCGGACTAAAGGGAGCTACCATTTGATTTTTTATGGGGGGTGGGGGGGGGGGGGGGGGGGGGGGGGGGGGGGGGGGGGCTAGGATAAAAATTTTGTCCTTTTTTAGTTGTAATCTCTGTCCTGCCTTTTTATTTTTCACTCTATTCGGTCCTGCCTTTTTTTTATTAGTTTATCCTGACTTTTTTTACATAAATTGTCATCCTGCCTTTTTGTTTGGCAAAGTTGCTCATCCTGCCTTTTTTTTACTCAAAACTCCTGTCCTGCCTTTTTCAAATTTCATCCTAGCCGCCCCCCCCCCCCCCCCCCCCCCCCCCCCCCCCTTAAAAATCAAATGGTAGCTCCCTTAAGAAATAAGCATTGAAGCCTTATACTTGAAAATCAGAAATAAATGAAATAAAAATGTTAACTATGAAATAAATTACAATGTAATAATAACAGATAATAATGTTCCAGTGCATGATGAACTTTAGAGTTTGTCTAAAGATTGTTTTCAAGTCCTTTGGATTGAGGAATTTGAACTTATTATTAGTATTATTAATAACAAACAATTAAAAACTACTGTCATACAAGTGGGAGGTTTAGCTAGCTTTAAAACCAGGTTTAACCCACCATTTTCTTTGGAAAAAGCCTGTTCCAAGTCAGGAATATGGCGGTTGTTTTCACTCGTTCCGTTGGTTGATAACGTTTGATTTTGTCAGTTTTTATGGATTTCCCCTTTTTTTAATTTACCTTGGAGTTCGGTATTTTTGTTATACTTTTTTTATCATTATTATTACTTTATATTCATTTGCATTTTACGATCTGTTAGTTCGGAAAGTTTTAGATATGGGATATCGTATGACCTTTACATGACCTCGCACCGAAAGCTAGACATGCAATACGTAGCATGTTAAACAGAAAATATGGTTCTCTGACTACACTTGCAGAAACTACAGTAAAGGTATTTTATGGCACATAGTAACAAATACAAAAAATGTGTTTTAGTATTACTTAGGAATAAATAAACATTTATACCTTCTGTATCTTATTTTGTGAATGAATTATCAATCGGAACATTTATTCAATTTGCTTTGAAAGAATATGGGTTGATATTGCTGGTTTTTTTTTGTAGTTCTGCACTGAAACTACTGTTAGATGCTCGTGTTCGGCAATCCGATGTTATGCTTTCCACAGAATTAAAGCCCCTTCAAAAAATTTCGTACTTTTTCTCACTCTGTTATCAGCAGGGGAGGTTGAGTATATATGCTCCGAATAAATTCTAATATATCTAATTTGGTATCCAAAAACAGGTTTTCAATCGATAAGAGATGTCAATGCATGCTTGTGAAAAGTTGTCGCGTATGATTTCACGATCTTATTTGTTATACATGCCAGGATTACTAAAACAATATTTTATGTATACTAGATTGCATATATAAAATGAACGATTAAGAAAAGGATATTCTTTTTAAAGAAAAACGGACCTATGCGAATTAAGGCGAACACACGTCCCTTGCATGTTGCATGAAACAGGACGTTACACAAGGCCAGTTACACCTTTAAGTGAAAGAATTTGTCAATTTTGTGATGTGAATACAATTGAAACTGAACAAAATTTTTTAATGAACTGTAATTTTTATTCGAACTTGAGAGAAGAACTTTTTAATTCATCCATTCTATTAAATAATGTTTTTATTACCTTGAGTGTAGAAGAGAAATTTAATTATATTATGAGCTGTGATGAAATTCAATTTTTATTAGCAAAAACATTGCATTTGATGTTTAAGAGGAGAAAGATAAATTTATAACTTCTAAAGAGTTTAAATATTTAATTATTTATTTATTAGCATATTATTTGAGATTTTTAAATCACTTCTACCTTTTTTTTGTTCTTTTTAGTGGAAACATGTTGATCTTAAAAGTAATTGTTTTGTACTTTTAAATAATTTTTAATTTTGAAAAATGATTTTTAAATTATGTATGCATTTAATGGGCATGAGGTAAAAGTGTCTCATATGTCTTTTAAGGCAGGAATCTAATATATGTTTATGCTGCTTTTATCTGATGTATAACATATTATGTATAATAATAGAGTGTGACACTGTAATAAATTATTTACTTACTAACTGTTATATTATCGATCGATAAAGCATCGCTAATTATCGGGAGCTTTTGATGTGAGCATGGTGAGAAGACTCTCATATTAATATCGTCACATTAATTGATTAAAAAACAAAGCCAGCATAGCTAAAATGCATGTATATATTAATTTAGTACACATTTTTATTGTAGATTTTTTTGTATTTTCTGTATTTTTTTTTAAATCATATTATTTTTTAACATTAAAATTCAGCTTTAAAAAATGTCTGTAAAATTTTATCATCGGACTCCAACGACCATCGTCAGTACTTCTTATATTTATTAGCATTTAGATTAATACACGGAGTTTTATACCGCCATGATTATAAACGTATTACTATTATGTCGGAATAAAATTATAAACCTGTGATACGTGCAATACACTGAGTCAAATACACCGCAGACCTTGATATCTTATTTTTTTTATAGAAACTAAATATATTGAACTTCTAATAGATGCGAGCATGGAAGGTAGATTCAGAATTATGCCATAAGTGAAGCTTTCTGATTACTGATTCATTAAGACATTGAGGTGTATTTTGTTTTTTTGTTGTTTTTTTGGGGGGGGGGGGGGGGTAAAATCCTTGCAAAATTATTTATTTACTTTTCTTATGGTAAATTTTATTGAGATTTATAGAAACTACGTTTTAAATCTTCAGTAGTTGAAATCATTCGACCTTTTAGCGAGATAATAACATTTGAACACATACATATACATTATACACCTCCAGAATTTTTTTTAATCTATCATCTAAAATTCGATCCACTTCAGTGAAACTTTACGAAGAAGCTGAAAAAAAGGGATAATGTTAATTTGTTATTGTCCTGAATATGCATGAATCTTGCTTCGTCCACTTAGGAAAATATGAGTAAACAGTACGTCAGCACTTTGTTTAATGTATCTACCGAGAACACAGTTACTTCGTAGTGCTTTTCTTCTAGACAATAAAACAAATATTTTAGAAATCGCACTTGCTCAATTATAAAAAGATTTTTAAAGTAAAGTGTACTACTTTTGGAACAAACTATTTCAAAAAGTAAAACAACAAAAATACCGAACTCAACAATTTTTTAACATGCAATTTCATACCTCTACTTACTTTTATAAGCATAAAATATAAAGAAATAAAAACTTGGAAGGTGTATGAAAAAATTTGCAAGTTATACACTGTCCACACTATAGAGACTATCAATGACAATAACTGTGTCCCCGGGCCATAATTATGAGAAACTTATATTGTATTTATAATGGGTGTTAAACATCATTAATTGAGTTACGAATAACATAAGCTGCGTGGTATGTTACAATGAAACAAAAACAAAACGACCTAAAATCGAATAGACACATATATAGAGGTCAACTACGGTCTCAAACTATACACAGCTAGAATAGTCATGATGGTAGTTGTCATACAATATATCAAGCTCTTGGTAAAAGTTGTAATAAATCTAACACACTATCAAAGATCTTCTATCAACACCAGTTTCCCTAAAAAATTTGAATATTTTTATGTAATTTCAATAAAGAAAAATAAAGAAAATTTACCTGAATAGAGTCTTAAAGCATGAATAATTTGTTGTATTAAACTAGAGCTAGGCTCCGACGGGCCTGTATCGCTCACAAGGCATTTTTCAATAAAATTCATGAAATGGAAGCTGTGTGGGCCATCATCTTGTCTTGCTGAACGAGTTTCTGTCTATATATATCCATTTGAGTTAAAGCATGGAAGTATTATATTGACTTTTACTTCCATGGTTAAAGTAAATAAAAACTGCAATAAGGGACAAAAACTTCAAGTCGATTTACGATTTCAATCGTATTGCGGATAATTTTTACTGTTCAAAGTTTTAGCCTATCAATTACGGATAAACAGGAAACGACATATAAATGCCAAAAATGGTAAAAAAAAAATTTATTAACTGACAAGTTCGGATAGGCTCACTTATATGTGGATCTTGTCTTACTAATCATTTCTTCTGTATGAAGATTCTCTGTGTTTTTTTAAAGAGTTTTAAGATATTAGCCACCCCACCCCCCAAAAAAAGAAAGAAACTAAACAAAAAAATGTGCAGCAATACTTT